AGATAGATAGATAGATAGATAGATAGATAGATAGATAGATAGATAGAGATTTTTTTTACTTTGAAGTTTAGACAAATTAAGTTGAAAAATAAAATCTTACATGAAGCTAGTTTCAATTTCATGAATACTGTGTAACAGAAAACCCATTAAAAAAGCTGTTTGTGTTGGGTATGTGGTGGTGGGGGGGTGGGGGGTTAACTCAGATATCCATCTAAAAGCGCATGTTTACTAAAGCTTTATGTTACTCTGTTCTTTGTCTGAGATGTGCTGCAACACTGCAGGATGGGAGGTGGGGTGCGTGTGTACGTCTGTGTAAGTGTGTGTGTTTTTGTGATGGGAAGTGGAGGGGGGGGGGGGGTTGTATAGTGAACCAGGGGGTAAAGGGTTGACGAATAATAGAATGCAGCTTGTCTCTGGGGAGGTGGAGGCTGTGAGTGTGCAATCATTACAGGCATAGATCTATCAGTATGCTGATGCCTTGAGATCTTCTGCCCCCCCCACCCAGCTTCCCCATCCAAAGACCCCCTCCTCATGGTCTTGTCCTTTCCTTCACAGCTCCACAGCATCGATCATCAATCTGTCTTGATTGATCCTGCAGCCTCCCAAAAAGCTCCAGAAAAGAAAGTAGAGCAGTTATGAGTTGTTTTATGATTCTCTCGTACACATGAAGCAGTGAGCGATGCTGTTTATTCACAGAACAAACGATGCGGCCGTGCTTTAAAATATATCTGACCAGAAGACTTCGACAACTCACAAAACATTTTATTATAAGACAGGGCGGGTGCAGTACCGACATATTTGCTCGTGTTTGTTCAGTAAATGAAAACCCGATCGCGCGAGGATTAGCCTGGAGTGAGGAAGCCACTTGATCAATACCCACTTTGACTGGCAGGTTCGGCGCAAAATGGAATGAGCAGAATGAGTGTTTGTGTGTAAAAGCACAACAAGAATCTATTTTCTTTGACATTTTTGTAGATGGAGGTGTATGTGGACTTTCTGTCTGAGACTGCACACGGAGAGTTGCTCCTAAATGTCAGACGTAGCCTGCAGGGTAAATGGAAACAGTCGAGCGGGATTGTATCAGTTTACAAACCTGGTCAATAGCTGAGCTGCTGCTAAAAGTCCAATCCCAAATAACGTGCTCGTAGACGCTGGCCTCGGAACAGGTTGTGTATTTCTGACGTGCACCAAAGCTTAGCGACACACATAAATAGTCCAGAGCGTGACTCATCAGAGTATCCTGAGGAAGGCTGATAAGGCAGTCTGGAGGATTTATTATTTGTGTTTTGGATTATTCACAGGGATTGAACGAAACACTTCACTTTAATTTGTTTAACATGGACAAAAAAGTTGAAGCTGTTTCATTAGGTGTGACATCAGAGAGAAAGGTCAGCCAAGACGCTTTCAGAATGTAATTTATATCTATCTGATTGCAAATGTATTCCTTTGTGTCCCTGCTTCGCCTTCAGTTCCGTGTGTTCACGGCTCCGTTTCATCGGGTGGAGTTTGCAGACTTCTGGCTGGCAGATCAGCTCAACTCCCTGGTGTTTGTTCTCATGGACCTGGAGTATCTCTTCTGCTTCTACATATTTGAGCTTCAGTGGAGCAGCAGAAAGGGACTGCTTCCGAAAGGTGAGGCAATAAATTACAGTAGGTAGCGCAATGCTCTCTTGTTTTAAGGAAGTTCAAAGGCACAAAATCACAGAAAGGGTGACCTTTCACTCGGTGACCTCTGGGAACAATATTATTGACGTTGACTTTTTAAAAATAAACATACAGTAGTTCCTCGCTACTTCACAGTTCACTTATCACGGACTCGCTCTATCAAGGTTTCTCAAAATAAGATTGGACATGACACACAGTTGGCTGATTGATGGATGAGCTGCACCATCAGCATGGAATTTTTTATTTAAAATAAATTATTATAAATTATTTAGGCATATTTGTGCAGCCCAGAGCTGCAGAAAAAGCTTCCTTCTGCAGCTTTGTGCAGCCCACACTGCTGCAGGATAAACTTCCTGCTGCAGCTGAACAGCTGATCAGATGTTCACCGTGCAGAACGGAGAAGTGGGCGTGGCCAAGAGCGCTTGCAGGTGGCAAAGAGCAGAGGAGGCAGGGAGCTGAAATCATGACATTCTGTGCTCTTTTAGAATGTTTAGAGTTTAGAAACATTGTTTAGAATATTGCAAGAGTGTGGGAAGGGTTTAATACACACACACACACACACACACACATATATATACAC